GCTAAGACTCATACGATCAGGTAGTAGGAGTTTTTTGTTTGTTTGCTTTTAAATCAGAGCTCTGAAATCAACTTCCTGTGTAAGGATTTTTGTGGGCGTTGCTGGAGATCGACACAGGTCATGGTAGTCAAATAAGTTTGGAAGAAAGACACTGGACTCCATTAAATGTTTTGAAGACGTTTCACCTCTCATCCAACAGGCTTCTTCAGTTCTAAAACCAAACGGTGGAGAGTCCCAGGTAATTCAAACTAGACGACAATGTTTATATTTTGGACCAAGAAGGCAGATTGTTTGAGAGGGAAGTAAATAAGGCCATCTATGTCCACTGTGAATGACAATCATTGAATGTAGGGGTAGATTATAACACTGTTGCATTGTTGACAACTGTCAACAACCTAAGGGAAAACCCTCACTAGGGTTTAAATACCTGGGCCTCTCCACCTTTTGGTTCTAGATTTGGAGCCTCTTAGATGAGAGGTGAAACATCTTCAAGCTGCCTAGACCTCATAATTAGTTGTGCCACACTTTGCAGCAAGAACTGCAATCAAGGTTTTTGCAATAACTGGTAACGAGTCTTTCACATGGATGAATTTCTTTCCATTTTTCTTTGCAGAATCTTCTGTCCTGCTGCATAATTCAAGTGCACTTGAGTTTCAGGAAACAAACTGATGGCCTGTAAAGACCAAATTCATGGTTCCAACAGTCACAGCAATACGTTGAGGTCCTGAGCAGCACTCGATCATCACACTACCAGTATCATGTTTAATGGTTGGCATGATGTTGGTTTTTTGTTGGTTTTTTTGGCGCCTGCATTGCAGCTGTGGTAAAATGGAGACACTGATCCATAATGACGTCCAATGTTCACACAATCGGGGAAAAGCAGCACCTGCTTAGTAGTGTGAGCTTTGGAGAGCCTCTTACCCTACATTTTGTGAGGTGGAGGTCTCTGTTGTCACCATGGGCTAAGGAATTGCCAGCTTTTCCGCTTTTCAAGGGAAATTTAAATTACGATTGATGCTGTGTCACAATGAGCTGGGTTACGCCTCCCTGATGCCGCCATTCCGACTGGAGTAATGACATAGAGCAAGGATGTCAAACTAATTTTACATTGAGGCCACATACAGCCCATATTTGTACTGCACTGTACTAAGATGGCGCCAGTGTGCTCGGCAGGCCATCCTACCTCTTCTTACCCTCGTCTCTGTTTTCACACTTTTTATTTAGACATTTGTCTGCTTTTTATTCTTGTCTTGGCTTCACGCCTCTCTGAGAACAATGCTTTAATCACATATGATCGTCTAACTTTGCTAAATCTCCGGCCACCTCTCTTCCACGAACCGGAGCTACATGGGGACTTAGGAGACGCTACGCTGCTGCGTACCTGCCCGTCTACAAGAACTTTCTGCCTGCCTCCACCTTCCCTATTTAAGAGGCGCTCCAGGAAGCGTGGTAAGCGGAGTGGACTTCGGGTTCGCCTTAAAGCCTTAATTAAGGTACATGCTGTGGCTAACTCCTCTCCCATCCCAGACTTTCTGCAATTTCCATTCACCTCCCACCGCCGGCCATCCTTCAAACTGCTCAGCCATCGCCGGATTTGCCCTGTTGGACTTCAATTGTATCTGACCTTTACAGTGATGTGCTCGCCACGTCGGACCTGGATTGGGACCTCTGGGACTTGCGCTCAACACAGGCACCTAAGCAAGTTGAGACGCGCCTCTGTCGGGGACGAGCCGGATGGCATTGTTTAACACAAGATCGCTGGTGAATAAAACCTTCATCCTAAAAGATCTTTTTCTCACCCTGCACCTGGATGTTTTATTCCTGACTGAAACTTGGATTCGCCCCGGTGAGTTTTCTCCTTCTCTGAACTCCGTCCCCCTGACTGTGTTTTTTTCGTATTGATTTTAAAGTTCTGCTGCTTACTTTCAAATGCCTAAACAACCTTGCCCCTGACTATCTCACCAACCTCCTCAGTCTCTATACTCCCAGCCGTTCTTTACGATCTACTGGTCAGTTACTTCTAGCCCAGGCACCATCGGAAGATTAGGGGTGATCGCTTTTGTTTGTTTCTCTATTTTCTCTATTTTACCTTGTATTAATGACTTACTGCTCAGTGTAATCATTTACTGTTATTCCTTATTGTGAAGCACTTTGGTGTACCCCCGGTTTTAAACGTGCTATATTAATAAAATTGTATTGTATTGTATATTGATCTTAAGTAGGCCGGACTACTGAAAATCCAATTTTTGTCAGTTTAAAGCAGTGGTTCTCAAAGTGTGTGAGAGTTCTGACAGGTGGAACTAATGTTTAACACTGACATTATTTTTGCGTGGCAACAAAGAAATTTGCAGCAGTTTAATAATATGTGCATCCTGTGAAAAGCTGCAGGCGTAAGTCGACAGCCAAAATAAAGACGTGTACTGAAAAGTGCAAACATGTGGTGTCTGTGGTGAATCGTTTACAGTGGTGCTGAAACCCACGACTGGGGCACGAGAGACCGAACCACATTTTCAAACCTTTCAGTACACGTCTTTATTGCGGCTGTCGACTTACACACCCGGCTGCAGCTCTTCGGCTGGAGCCCACACACATCAACAACAACAACGACAGGACCTAGTTCATTCTGTTTTAAGCCGGCCAGGCGTGATTAGGGATGCCGCTCAGGTGCCGCCTCACCCGCAGCCACGCCACAGACCACTCCCCGCCACAGCTCTGCAATCACAAACAGGCTCACTGCAGCCACTAAGAGTGAATAGTATTAAACCCTCAATAAATCATATAGTTTTCATCTCTGTTCACAAGTTTCTGGATTTCTTTTTTTAAGACTAAGACTGAACTTGTTCAAATTCTGTTTAAATTGTTCCTTTTTTGAAGAAGTGGTGCAGACTAATGAAGCAGTTTAGTGACAAAAATTATAAATAGTTGTTTGAAATGAAAGTTGTTTGTTTAAAACAAAAATTACTTATGGACTCATTGTGAATAAGTTTATTATCTAAAGATCTCTCGGTTTTTCTACATGTTAAATGGGTAAAACATCACCCACCATAAAACCAAACACCAATAACATCTATACCTTCTTCAAGGACTCCAACACCTCCCCCTTCACTATATCCGGCCCTATACTAGATGAACTACCCCCATGCTTCTGCTGCATGACCTCAGCAGCACCGACCCCCATAAAGCTGCAGGCCCCAACAATATTCCAGGACGTCAGAGACTGCACAGGCTGACATACATCGTGAACACCTCTCACAGGCAACACACAGAAACTCACACACACAGGCTGTGCAAAGATGCCAGAGACAATCCAGCATGTAACTGCAGGGTGCAAGACGCTGTAACCACGTGGATCACACAGCATACAGAAATATATATGCCGAATATGGCTACGAAGTCTCAAAGCCAAAATAGGACACGTCCCTCAGGGTGGTTGAGAGTGACCAAACTAATATCCTGTTGCTAACCAACTGGATATATTAGTGGTGGACAAGCAGATGAAGACGGCTGTAGGAATATATATGTAGCTATACCAGCGATAGCAACATGAGGAAGAAAGAACACGAAACACCAAGGGCTGAGAGAGCAGCCAGAAACCTTTCAACTGTAAAATGAGAGGGTGAAGGCAAAGTGGTCCCCGTGGCCCCGGGAACACCATCTGAAAAGCACAGGACCAGGAACAGCAAAGATGCCTCTATAGAGGACCCAAAACTTGACGGATAGAAGACTGCCCACAGTTTTCTAATGTATCTTATTTTTTATATGTTTCTTTTTCTCATTTACACTAAACTGTAAATATGCTTATTGTTATACTGTAAATACATTATTTTTTTTCTATTATATATTGGTGACTAGGGATGGGTACCGGTATCCGGTGTCATGATGGCACCAGTTCTGTCATAAACGGTA